CTGATCCTAATGACAGCATTAACCATCTAACAAGAAGGGACCAGGCCACCATCTTTAGACTTAGAACGCAACATACTCCACTCAATGGAAACCTAGACAGAATACAGCCACAACACTCCCCAGAGAATCAGCAATGTAACTACCCCTACGAAACTGTTGAACACCATCTCTTTGAGAGCCCAAAACTCAGTGAGACAAGAAGAACGCTACTCCCTCCGAGACCAGACAAGTGGAACACCTTGTACGGAGGAAAAGAACAGCTTGTGAAAACATGCAAATTCCACTACATGGCTTTGGGCCAAAGGGCGAAAGCTCATGCGCCGCTGGATCGATAACAACAACAATAACATACTACTAAAAAAAAAAAAAAATTGCCGGCTAGAAAGAAAATACAAGGATTGATGTGGACATTGCATGTGTTAACATTCATCGACAATCGCAGTTAAAAAGCAGAATTTCGACTAAGCAGCTATTGAACTAAGTATGAACATTAGAAAATAATTTACTAAAATATATATATATATATATATATATATATATATATATATATATATATATATATATATATATATATATATATATATATATATATATGATTCAGGTACAGGCGTGGGATTCATGAGAATGTAATGTCGTTCGTACACTGCGATATTTTCCTTGTTCTAACGTAGATCTTACAGTTTTACTGATTTTACTGTTAATTGTTAACACAGACCTCAAATGTTATCTCATTCTATATATACTCATATCTGTGGTCGGTCGTTACAAAGGGGTCAGGTCGTTTAACCTACGCTTGAAGGTCGTGGGTTTGTTTCGTGAACGCCAAGCGCAGCTGAAGGTTTCTGTATCTTCTTCTTCAGCCTTCTATCTCACATGTGGGTATTGACCCTTAACCAACTCATGCCAAGTCTTTTTATTCTTCACTATTGCACACAGCTCTCCCAATACCTCCTCTCGCCCCCTATCTTGTTAACTCCACGCTCTACTTCACTTCTCCATGTTTTAGATCTCCTTTTATTTCTATGCCCCTGTGGGTTCCAGTGCCAAGACGTTCTAGCTATACTGTTCTCAAGTTTCATTAACCTGTGTCCCCTCCAACGCCAATGTCTTTTATTCACCTTTTGGTTCACTAGAACTCGGTTAGTTCTTCCCCAAAGCTCTACATTACTGATTCTATCGTACAATTTAATTCCCTCTTTTCTGCCCAGGCAACACTTTATAAATGTTTGTAGTTTATTAGTATTTTGCCTTAGTTGTTCTCCATGCTTTTCTTTCAAACAACAGTAATGATTTGACCATGAAATTAAACATTTCAAGTTTAACTGTTTCACTGATGCGAAATGTCCACAGGGACCGTCGTTAGAGCTACGGAGTTTGTGCTTTGAACTCTATCCTTGCGACTTTTTCTTTGACTGCACACACAGATCTTACATTTTATTGGCCTGTTGGTTGGAACAGCTGTAGTAGTAACCCTGCTGGCACTCCGGGTGGCATGCTGGGTAATTGCCGTCTGCTCTTTCCGAGCAGCTTCCGGTGATACAAGTGGTTGACTGGTTGACTGAAGGCAAAAATCAGTTATATATTTTATTTTAAAGCATATCATCATCATCATCATAATCATCATCATCGTCATCATCATCATCGTCATCGTCACCCTCACCGTCATTATAGTCATCATCATCGTCGTCATCACCATCGTCATCAATATCATCGTCTTCAGAAGGTTCCACCTTTATCGCTGTAGGACGAGGGAAAGACTTGGTTTGCGATTAAACACTCATTATGATAGGAGCCCCTGTGGTGTAGCAGCTAGAGACTCGACTGCGGATCTGAAGGTCGTGGGTTCAGAACCTGACGGTACTAGACTTTTTTTTTTTTTTCAAAAAACGACTTTTTCTCCTAAATCACCCCAATCTTGAATTAGTAGTAGATGTAGCCTGGGGAAGTAAAGGGGGCCAGCCTAATGCTGACCATATCACCCCCCCCCCTCGGAAAGTATCGATTGGTCTATAAAATATAGGTCTAACAGTATAAGACGAATACGACTGAGAGTATGGAAGGACCCCCTTACTGTTTCTCAGTCTGCTGCCCTGCTAATTTGGTTCCTGTGACCATTGTGAGGGAAGGGCAGGCGGCAGGAAAGGACAAACAAACTTGTCGTAAGACTCGACTTAATTGGGGGAGGGGAGGGGGAGGGGGGAAGAGCTTTCTTTGAAGTCGTTTATCCTCCTGAGAGACAAAAAAAGGCAATCATTCTGAATACAGCTATTTCAGATCCGTAAAACGGATGCCCACGCAAAATTCAAGGTATGAAATAAGTCTAAAGTCTAGAGGTGGACGAACAGTCAAAACTTTCCACTGCAGTTTACAGAAGGTGAACGTCAAGAAGAGATCTGTTTGCCAATGTATCTGGTGCAACAACAGTTGAAAGATGGGGGGTTGGGGGTGGGGGAGTCAGCGTTTGCGTTAAACAAGACGTTTCCAAAATCACACGGCAGGACTACCTAAAAGAAAAGGGACGAATTCTATTTTTAAAAGGTCACAAATTAGGCATGCAGGTCCGTCTTACATACGGCCCTTCTAAGCACCAATCTTTCACATAGCAGACGTCAAAAAAGCATGTTATGTTCATTTTTTTTTTAAATCATGAATATCAAAGGTTGGGGGTGGGGGAAAGGGGGGGGGGGGTGGGGGTTCAAAAGGAGACAAGTTTGGTCACGGAATATATAGAGGTGTCCTATAAGTCTCTATACATAGAAAAAAATATTTATTCTTTCGAAATGAAAACCCTTTTCATTTTTATATGCTTTACATGACTTATTGTTTTTAAAATATATTTGGATGCATGTCCTCCATTACTGAAGAGCACGTGTAAGCACAGCTGCAAGTATTATTGTAATGGCAGTGGTGATATGTTTAATCGCACAATGTATAGACACTTTTGGATCCAAAATATGGCATATCTAGTGTTATGAGACTGTAACATTTATTTTGTTCAATATTTATCCATAAAGTCAGTTACAAATACGAAATGCTGGCTGTATAACCCTTACTTCATCGGGAAGCTGCTTTTACCGCCTCCACCTCCATTCTCATGCTGGGTGATTTCCAATAGAAAACGTAGTCAACTATCAAGCCCACAAATGTGATTTTTTTCTTGTGTGTGCGTTGCAGATTATTGTCTACAAATCTAAACAAAACTAAATCAATCAAAGTAATACAAGACTCACGGTTACAAGCTGTAGTGACCAAAGCATTTCTGATAGCACCAAGGACATTGAAATTGTCTACTTCAAACACCTGGCTCGGTGGCGATGCAATGTCATGCAGCTCTCTCTGATCAGCGCCCGGCCCAACGCCAACCGCAATCACTGATATATCCAAAGGTTCCAGAAGATCCGCTTCAGCAACTGTGGCATTGGCTGAAAGATGTGATTTATGTTTAATTGAGAATAATTACTGTTCTCTGAGAGCTTCGGTGGCGCACTGGTAGGATAACCACTTGTCTGCCAGCTCTAGGGTCTTAAGTTCAATTCATCCCCACCAAGGTGGACATTTATTATCAATAGTCCATCTCCGGGGCATCCTCTTGAAACCGAATCTGTAAACTGCGCTGTTTACTGGGTCCAGTGACACAGTGTGCACATTTAGGGCCCCATTTGGAACGTGTAAAAATCAAGATCACAATGCTTTAAATACACATATAAATAAATATAGAAAATTATATCTGACTTTTACCTGCTACTACTACTGCTGCTACTACTACTATTGCTGCTACTATTACTTCTACTAATATTACCGCTGATGCTGCCGTTGTTACTACTACTATTGTTGCTGCCAACAGTACTACTACTACTGCTGCTACTATTACTAATATTTTACTTTTATTACTATTACTACTACTGCTGGTGCTGCTAGAACTACTACTGCTGATACTACTACTGCTGCTGCTGTTAGCAATACTACTATTACTTCTAATGTTGAACTACTACTAATGTTGCTCCTGCTACTGCTACTATTACTACTGCTATTTTTACTGCTGGTGCTACCGTCGCTGCTGCTACTAGCAGTACTACTACTGTTACTAGAATTCCAGAGAAATTTGACTAAAAAGCTCAACAAAATGGGAAAAAGGAAAACGTGCACAAAACAACACAACGTAACGTTTCGGCCAGGCAGCCTTTTTCAAACACAAGTGGACTACACCAATATTAGTAGTTCAACACTTTGTGTTTGAAAAAGGCTGCCTGGCCGAAACGTTACGTTGTGTTGTTTTGTGCACGTTTTCCTTTTTCCCATTTTGTTGAGCTTTTTAGTCAAATTTCTCTGGAATTCATTGTATTAGCTTGACTGCAGTCACCCCCATAGTTTCACCTACTGTTACTAGTAATATTACTACTACGATTACAACTACTGCTGCTTCTGTTGATGCTGCTGCTAGCAGTATTATTACTGCTGCTACTTCTACTACTACTACTAATGCTGCTGCTGCTACTACTACTAGCAGTACCAGTACTACTACTATTACTACTTCTACTACTATTACTACTTCTACTACTATTACTACTTCTACTACTATTACTACTTCTACTACTACTACTACTACTACTACTACTACTACTACTACTACTACTACTACTCCTACTACTACTACTACTACTACTTCTACTACTACTACTACTACTACTAATCTACTACTACTACTACTACTACTTCTACTACTACTACTACTACTACTCTACTACTACTACTCTACTACTACTACTACTACTACTGCTGCTGCTGCTGCTGCTGCTGCTGCTGCTACTACTACTACTACTACTACTAATGCTGCTGCTGCTACTACTAGCAGTACCAGAACTACTACTACTACTACTACTTCTTCTACTACTACTACTGCTACTACTACAACTACTAATACTACTACTACTACTACTACTACTACTACTACTACTACTACTACTACTACTACTAATACTACTACTACTCTACTACTACTATTACTTCTACTACTACTACTACTACTCTACTACTACTACTTCTACTACTACTACTACAAATACTACTACTACTTCTACTCTACTAATACTTTTTCTACTACTACTACTACTACTACTACTACTACTACTACTTCTACTACTTCTACTTCTACTACTACTACTACTACTTCTACTACTACTACTAGTACTACTACTACTACTACTACTACTGCTGCTACTACTACTCTACTACTACTACTAACATTTAGTATTACCATCACCACCATCACATATACTTACGATTGTTGGACAGGCCATCAGTAAGAAGGATGCAAACTTTGCCGACATTCTGCCTGGCCCCACTGGCCTCTGAAAAGGCCACCTTTCTAGCCAAACGTAGTGCTGCAGCGGTGTTCGTCATACCATTCTGGTATGAAGCATTCAGCAAGGCCTGGGCAGAGACAGAATATAGTTCAGTCGGGATCAAGCCTGGAATGTATTCTATATAAGGCGAAACGTGGTCATGAAATCTTATATTAAAGGGATCAAGATTAACTTCGTTCTTTGTTTAAAAATAATGGAAGGTATCCAACACCTGAATGGATTACTATCCCATGGGTTACATCCTAAAGAAAACAGTTTTGTAGCCTACTGAGAAGCAACCAACTGATCAACCATCTCGCACAACTATTAACAAGAGCACTAACCCCATATACATACATACATACATACATACAGTCGGAAACTATTTGAATATTATCTCATTACATGTTACATGATGAAGATACCCTGTGCAGACAAAAAGAGTAAAGAGGATGCCTTGAAAGGAATTGACCCACGAAGAGAACTGATTGCCCACATCAGAAAGCGACATTTTTGGGTCATGTGATGTTAAGGAGAGAGCTGGAGTACATTGTGACAGTAAGAAAGTTGGACGGGAAGAGAGGCAGAGGAAGATCGAGAGAACAGATGCTGGAAAGTCCGACATCATAGCATGGAGGATAGTCTGTGTCAGTGTTGACTAAAATAACAGGAGACAGAAGGCTGGGGAGAGACATGACTACCAACGCCACACGGTAGGGACTTTATGAAGAAGAACAAGCTACATCGGGCGCCGAAGTGGTGTAGTGGCTAGACGCTAATCTGCGGATCCGAAGGTCAAAGGCTCAGGTCCTGACGGAACAGGATATTCTTTTCAAATGACCTTGGCTCCCTGCTTGACCCAGGCAAAAATGGGTACCTGGTAATGTCCTAGGAAAAAATGGTGGTCAGTGGGATGTTGACCACATAACCCATAGAGTGCCGATTGGTCTATAAAATATAGGCATGGCCCTATATGCCCAATACGTCCTAAGGCATAACACAAAAAATCATTTACTTGTTTGAAGGTTACATTTCTCCTTTAAAGATGATATTTTTAGCCTACTGTTTATTTCCACTAAATTTATTGTAATTACTATACTAAGAGTCACGAGCGGCTTCCGTGACTTAGGCGTTGCGAGTTCCACTCGCTTTCCAACGTACCGCGATCGATACTCACTGCTGGCTGCCGGGATTTTTATCGTGGTATGGGGCGTCGCAGGTCGACCCAGCCTAAAATGGGTACCAGTGTGTTTGCTTAATGCTGACCACATTACCCAATGAGTGCCGATTGGTCTGTAAAAATATGGGTGCTTTTCCGATATGACCGAAGCGCCTAAAGGCGTGAAAATTGATCTTTACTTTTTACTTACTGACTATACTAAGAGTTATTTATATTATTTTTTTTTTTTTAAATACATGAGTAATTCAAGCAAATTCTAGCATTTCTAATTAGTATTTAGTTGTTGTTGATGTCTATTATGTTCTGTAAATGGATGTATGAATTAAATAAAAACGTTTTCTCTTTTTTTATTGCCTTCACCGGCTGTAAGAAAGGGGAAAAGTTCGGGTTGTTTATCCACTTCTGAACTTCAGTCTCGTCATAGAATTTAGGTTTTGCGTGCACATACGTTTTACAGATCTGACGTAGCTGTGTGCAAACTATTGGTTTTTCGCCCATAAGACAGATTCAATCCGACTTCGGTGGCAACATCCCTAATTAGGCGACTTTTACGACATGCTTATTAGAGGACAATGTACAGAATGTGTATACTGTTTAACACTTTGACAATAAAGTTCGTTTATTTATGCGTTCTTTCGTGCAATTTTCACCTGCCAGTCACTCACCTTGGATATGTCATCTACAGAAGTGTAGTCAGAAAATCTAAACAGCAATGAAGCAAAATCGCTGAAGATGATGGCACTAAACTGCACATTATCAGGCCCCACGGTGAACTGTGTAACCAGTCCGGCCACAAATGTCTTCATCACCTCATAGTTAGCCAACAGGATGCTTGCAGATGAGTCCAAAATCAGCAAAACATCCGCTTGTCCACTACACTGTGGGGCCGCTGTGGAAAAGTTGTCCAGAAGAGAAAGTAAGCTACATATCCTGTATCGTTCTTTAACATTTTCAAACATGGGAACCGGGTAGTTAACGTCATTTGGATATTTTCTCCAGGTCGTGCTGGCATGTAGGGAAGCAAACAGGTAGATGGACTTGCTGGGTTTGCACCACTTGATGGTTAGCTGATATACGACAAGCTAAGGATCTTTTAGGAAAGCTGGCGGAGGCACAAGTAGATCATTACGGTCTAAGTCGAAGGGCGCTGCGAGGAGTTACACAGGGATCTAGCCGACTCACAACACACAATGGAAGGACAAGACACACACACACACACACACACACACACACACACACATATATATATATATATATATATATATATATATATATATATATATATATATATATATATATATATATATATACGGTCAGGCATACTGGTGACATCAAGATTGGAACTTTTCGCTTGCCGCTGAAGATGGGACGGAACGCTTATGGGAGTGTCGAAAATTCTCTGACGTCGATTCTTATTTTAGCATTCAACATGTAAAACTTAGGACATGGAAACTAGGAGAAACTGCGCGAACAAGTTAACGCTTAAGGCAGAAGAAAACTGTCGATAAAATATACATTTTGTAGCGTCTCCAGATAGAAGTTATCTACAATGCCCCCATTGCTTGCTATCTTGTAGGGATCTTTATTTTCTAATTCACCCAAAAAAAAAAAAAAAAAAGAAATCAAAGAGTTGCCTAGAAAGTTCTATATTCTAGGGATGCTTTGGGTTGGGTTGAGGGTTAGGGTTAGAGTTATGATTAGGGTTAGAGTTATGGTTAGAGTTAGGGTTAGAGTTAGGGTTAGAGTTAGGGTTAGAGTTATGGTTAGGATTAGAGTTAGGATTAGGATTAGTCGGTGTGTCTGAGGCAGTCGGGGCTAATAAAAATCCTAACCAGAGCCCTAATTCCAAACCGCATCACACTTGAATTTTAGATTTTTTCCAGGAACTCAGGGGATTCCTTTGTTTGGGGAGAAGTAGAAAGAGTACCATTTTAAGACATTACTCAGACATGGCCTAATCTTTTCCCTGTCCTGTTCTCCTACTACTGTCTCAAAGCCAGGACAGCGGACTTTTCCCTGTCCTGTTCTCCTACTACTGTCTCAAAGCCAGGACAGCGGACTTTTCCCTGTCCTGTTCTCCTATTACTGTCTCAAAGCCAGGACAGCGGACTTTTCCCTGTCCTGTTCTCCTATTACTGTCTCAAAGCCAGGACAGCGGACTTTTCCCTGTCCTGTTCTCCTATTACTGTCTCAAAGCCAGGACAGCGGACTTTTCCCCACAAAATAAGACCCTGGAAATGTAACCCTGCTACTCCCCATGGCAGTCCCAGAAGCTCAGTTTGGAAGAAACAAGAAAGAGAATATCAACAGTCTCCTTAACAAGCATGTCGTAAGAGTTGACTCTTGGGAGGGGGCTGTTCTTCGAAGGAGTGCATTTGCATGAGAGGTAAGGAATCAACAGTTTGTATTTAAAAAAACCAGATGTGTGCACGCTAAACTCAAGAAGTGGAAATATACTGAGGTCCACAAGTGGACGAACAACCACAACTTTTTGCCGGGGCTTTCTGCTACTCAACAGATGCTGCTATTATTTAAGCTAAAAGACGTTAATCAAAAGATAATGCTAGTATCTCAGCTAAAAGACACGAATCCATAGAGTGCTACTCGTATCGCATCTAACAGACGCTACTCTATAGAGTACAGCTCGTAGCTCAGCTAAAAGATGGTAATCCATAGAGTGTTATTCGTTCAAGGTCTGATAATTAAGTAATGAGACTGATTTTATTATGGCCAAGACAAAAATGCCATCTGTGGAGCAAAGCATGGAATCTAAGGAGATAACATTCATCTATGATCTGGCAGCTTTTCATCGCCGATCGACAAGCACACAACAAAGCCGCTATTTTGTTGACCTAGTCAGAGGTGTATTGTTACGTAATCAGCACGGAGCAAAAAAGCTAACATTAAATTCATTTTAAAACTCAGAAAAAGCGCCATTGAAACAGTTCAATTAATGCAACAAGTTTATGGGGATAATTGTTTATCTCGTGCATAAATTTGCAGGGGCTATTCATGATTCGTAATTGGTGTGGAAATGATTACTAATGCACCTAGACCTGGAGGCCACATTTCTGTTCGTAATGATGAACTTATTGAAAAGGCAGAGAATGGATACAAAAAGATCATTGTTTTACTGTGAGTATGATGGCAGATGAATCTGGTGTTAATAGAAAGACCATTAATAATGTTTTTGTGCAAGAATGTGGCAAGACAAGAGTTGCTTGCCGGTTTGTACCACATTCGTTGTCTGATGACCAAAAACATCAGCTGGTTGAGTACCCAAGAGATATCATCAAAACAAGAATTTTTGGCCCCGAAACAAGTGTGTACTCTCAGCCTTCCACTCTATTCCCCAGATTTGTCTCCTCCATTCTCAAAATTGAAGTTACAATTGAAAGGACACTTCTTTGACGATATTGATGACCTCCAAAGGGCAGTAACATTGACTTTACGGGCCAAAACAACAGAAGCACTACAGAGGTCGTTTCAGAGTTTGTTAGATAGTGCCACTTACAGTGTCAATGAATTAGGGGCTAACATTGAATAAAATGCAGATGGTATCTTTAAATGTTAATTTTTACAATTGTTATGGAATTAGTCTTAATACCTAATTGTCAAACCTTGTATGTCAGCTAAAAGACGCTAATCTACAGAGTTCTTCTGGTATCTCAGCTAAAAGACTCTACTCCATAGAGTGCTGCTCGTATCTTAGCTAAAAGACGCTACTCGATAGAGTGCTGCTCCATCGAGAGCTGCACGTATCTCAGCTAAAAGACGCTACTCCATAGAGTATTGCTCGTATCTCAACTAGAAGGTGCTGCGATTTGTACTTACCGCCAGGATTGGATGGAACCTCAGAGTAGTTCTGGGGAACCCTGGGACAGTAGGCTGCTTCAAGCTGGCAGTTTTGTGTTTCCTGGACAAAGACCATCCGAGCTGTGTAACGAGTGCCATTTGGATAGGTGTAATATCCGAATCCACATTGCCTGAAGCAGATGTAGAAGAAGAAAAAATAGTGTACACGGTGGTGGTGGTGGTGATGGTCGTTCTTATTGTCATCATAATGATAACAATAATCATATCATACGGATGCTGGTGTGGGAGTGGTGGTGATAATGATGATGATGATGATGATAGGGATAGTGATGATAATTAGGACGATAATACGTATGGTGATGGTAACGATATTGAAAAGGTTGGTATTATAATGATAAGGATAATAGGAGTAATGATTATGAAAAGCATGGTGGTGATAATGATGGTGATAATAATGATTGTGGTGATGATAATGGAGATGAGATGATCATAACGATGATAATGACAATGATGATGACAATGATGATGACAATGATGATGATAGTTATAACGGTGGTTGTGGTGGTGATGATGTTACAGTTTATGAGTACAATAATAGAAATAAAAATGTGCTGAGTGTATAAGGTAAAGTCGAAAGATGTGAACCAGCGTCACTGCACACGGTTATAAACCATAAGTGCTCTGCCACCAGTACGGACAGCTGATAAGAACTGTTCGCCTGTGTCGCCGTTCGCACATAATTCTGTAGCTACAGCGACGTTCCTCCATTTACCCTAGAGTGTCAACAATGGTACCCATTTCCTAGAGGCTGGGTGAACCCCGGGAACCGCCCGGTTTCGAACACCGACCGTGGCTGCAGCGAGTCGCAGCTGGATTTGAAAGCGAGCCTTTTATCGACTGCGCTAACGCGGTCCCTATGCATATATATATATATATATATATATATATATATATATATATATATATATATATATATATATATATATATATATAACCTTTTGGTTCTAAACTGACTGATACAAAATTTGTTAATACAACATAGAACTAACCTTCTATATCCGGAGTTTTGATTGCAGGTGTAATAGAATCCTCTTTCACACTCCGGTATGCAGGCTCGGTAGTCACCTGTTCTTTTGCCAACACAGTCGTTTTCGTCACGAATGCAAGAACTTGTGTTCGGTTCTGTGAAATAGTCGATGGGAATACGGACACATAAATCTCTGTAGAAAAGTTGGTGACAGAGAGGAAAGGTGCTGGACTCGATTCCGTTGATATCGAAAAGATGGCTCAGAATAGTTTGGAAAGGAGGACCCGTCGGCCAGCTCTTTGTAAGATTTAAATGGGTACAACATGATATTGGCTGTTGATGATGAATACGACGATGATGATCATGGTAATGATGATGATGGTGATGATGATGATGATGATTTTGATGACGATAAAAGCACCAGTCATGTATTCTTCTTCTTTTTGTGCCTTTCTAGCCCCCAATGGAGCATAGGTACTCAACTAACTCACACCAAGTCGTTCAATCTTTCTACTACCGCATGCAGCTCTCCCCATGTTTCTAACTTTATTCTACAGCACCTTTCTCCATGTGTGTGTGTGTTTTTTTTCTTTCCTTTATTCATACGCCCCTGTAGGTGTTCTAAATAACGCTCTTATTATTCTGAGACTCACAGCTTCCCCTTCCATTAGTGCCTTGTCTGCTTCTTTCGGTAGCACCAGGGAAGAATTTTCTTCTTTGTGTCCTGAGAACAAAATAGTTTCCCCTGAATTTAGAATACTTTTCCTAGCTCCAGTCCATCTAGTTTCACATAACTATAGAATACCAATTCAATAATGTTTCATTTCCCTTAATACTTCCTTTGTTCTTTCGATATCGTGCCGAGTTCTAAGATTCCAGGTGCCAATTCTGGAGGTGTTCCTTGTTGAGAGGAGGTACGTCGACCATCCG